TCTTGGCGCTGGTTTTTTTTTGTTGTATATGCGGAGGGTAAATTGGGTTTGGATATTTTTGTATGTCGTTTGTGGCAATTGTTTTTTAGGTGATTGTTAATGGATGTTTAATTTACTTGGACTTGTTTTTTAGGTATTGAAGAATATCCATCTGTGCTGGTTGATGCCTGAAATGCCTTGGCTGTGAGACATAGAATACTTACTATATTTATACTAATACTGCATCCGTGCCCCTAAACTATGCCATACTTTTATTCGTGACTATCATTACGATTCATTCTATCCCCCTTGCAAGCTATCATGTAAAGGTTTTGCATCTTAGTCTTGTATTGTGTGTAAAATGCAATATCACTATGGGAGGGCAAGCGGGTATGGTATATTGTTCGCGCTGGCATATTTCATTTGTTTTATCTTTATACCTCCAGTTGATGATGTGCCAGCTAGAAGGTGGCCGTTTTAAGCGTTGCTCTATCGCCTCCCCTGTGTATATTCCCACAGCCATAGGCATTACCGCTCTGCCAGGCCACAAAAGCCCTAGTTCCAAAATGTGCCTTGTGTTGCTCTTGGTTCAACGAGATCACCCAGTGAGACGCTCATGTTATGGTCGCTGCAGAGGGGTGCTAGTAAGGTAGTCTGAGCTCATATATTAGCGACCTAGTGATTAGAGCACGACACGAATGCCTGAGTGGGTTTCTGCAAAATGCTCGCCGGTTCGGCTGGAAATGCCTTCGTATGGATGGAGTCAGTGCCAGCCTCAGGATCCAATGTCGCATTATAGGCCTGGCTGCTTGGGGGGGGGGGGAGGGAGGGGGAGGTGGCCAGACATGATATGCCATTCGACATGCCTACAGGTTAGCACTATCTGGCTGTGGTGAAGGCCATGAGACGAAAAGGAGCAGTAATGGACATCCCAGATAATAGACCGTCACTCCGAACCCTAGCTGAGAAAGCGCTGCCGCCAGCTCTCAAAGCGACGCTAGTTTCGTTACGAATAAAGAAATGGATTTGAATGCATCCGATGGACCGAAGATGCCTTGAACATGGGGAACTAAATCGAATCCCTGCAACAAACTTGGGGCTAGTCTCAGTGGATTGTTATTGACTCTGAATTGCCTGATCTCCCACCTCGATCCCTGCGTATCGATCCTTTCCTCCCTTTTCCCTCTTGGGGCTGCTGTGCCGCTAAGCTTCCCCCCGGCCGTGTTTCCTTCTCTCTCGGCCGTTGGATCTTATTCGGTTTCTTTGTATTATTCGATTTCGATTTTTGCTTCCCTTTCACCAACCTTCCTTCCAGTTATTTTTCTCTCCACCTGTGTGTTGCTGTGATGGCAGCTTCAATCCTCAGCCTGGCCACCACGTACGGGGCCCAATTGGCCCTGGCGGTGGTCCTTATTTTGATTGTGCGATTTTTTCACGAGATGTTCAAAGTACGCTTGCTTTTCCATTGGTTGCGAAAGCAAGGCCTGGTATGCCATCCGGACAAGAACAATCCCCTGACGATGGACGGACTGGCTGACAGTAGCTCGCGCAGCCAATGCCCCAGTGGGATTTCGCAGCAGGAAATCTGCGGATGCTCCCCGATCTAATGAAGCGACACCCTAAAGGGTCACAGCAGTCGGAAGCGTTTACGTTGCTATCCTACGAGTTCCCCAGCCACGATAATTGCTTTTATATTGATGTCTGGCCCTTTACCAAACCGTTGTTGGTGGTCACGTCGCCGGATCTAGCGGTGCAGGCCTCTCAAACATATGCGCTGCCAAAGCCGCCGGTCCTCGCCGAGTTCTTCAATCCTTTTACCGGGGGTCCCAGTATCTTCGTGACCAATGGCCCCGAATGGAAGCATGCCCGTGGACTATTCAATCCCACATTTAGTGCCAGCCATATTCTCGAACATACTCCTTCTATTGTCGAGGAAGCTGAAGAGTACGTGGAGATCCTTCGCGAGCATGCGCGCACGGGAGACATGTTTACGCTCGATAAAATGACCTGCGACTATGTGATGGACATTATTGGATACGTCGCCATGTGGGTTTCCTTGGACAATCTGAGGCCCGAAGAATCAAAACTAAGAGTCAATCACAGGAAGGCACATCTTCATTCTCAGCGGAGACACAATGCGCTAGCGGCGGCGATGAGAAGTTCGGTCGAGTGGCATTGCCAGGACGAGCAGATGAATCCCTTTATTCGATGGAATCCCATGCGACCCCTGATGCAGTGGTACAACGGACGGACGATGAACCGTTATATCGGGATTGAACTGGACAAGCGATACGAAGTATGGAGACAGCAATCTTCCACACGCGCAAGTTCTATCATTGACATTGTGCTTGCTGAATTTATGAGTACGCGGACAGCCGGTGATAAGCTGGACCCCGAGTTCAAAAAGTGGGCGACGATTCAAATCCGGACCTTTCTATTTGCTGGTCACGACTCCACGGCTGCTACAATTGTGTATAGTATCTATCTCTTGTCAAAACATCCCGAGATACTGGCAAAGGTTCGCAGCGAGCATGACAAGATCTTCGGGTCGGATATTACAACTACAGCAGATAAACTGAAGCAGCACCCCGAGCTAATTAACCGACTTCCATATACACTCGCGGTTATCAAGGAAACGCTTCGTCTCTTTCCCGCTGCCTCTGCGCTGCGCGAGGGTCAGCCGGGGGTCCATCTACAGGATAAAAATGGTACTAAGTACCCGACAGATGGCCTGTGTATCTGGATTATCCATACAGGTCTTCAACGGAATCCTAACTACTGGCCTGATCCACACGCTTTCAAACCAGAGCGCTGGCTAGTTGGACCAGAGGATCCATTGTATCCTCCGAAAGGAGCCTGGCGTCCCTTTGAACAAGGTCCGCGAGACTGCATCGGTCAGCCGCTGGCTCTACTGGACATCAAGATTACCCTCGTGCTCACTCTCCGGGAGTTCGACTTCCAAGACCAGTATGCAGAATGGGACCGTCAGCATCCCCGGCCGGGGCCCAAGACCGTCTTTGGCGAACGTGCCTACCAAATTCCACTGGGAGGCTCCCACCCAGCCGACGGCCTTCCGTGCCGGGTCAGCTTTCGAAAACAGACAAGCCAGTGAGATTTGTGCTTACAATCGGCGCTGAGGCGAGGGATGAGGACACGATGAGGGGAAGGGGGGCGCCGAAGGCCTTGGGAATTGATGTCACTCACCGATGGAGAGATCTGGGTCTCCTGGCGGGGTATATGCTGGTCAACGCGGTGGCAACTTTCTTCTTGTACTGGCTCGCGAGGGTGCCGAAAGGTTCTAAGACGGCCTGAGACTGTATGTTAGTACTGTGTGTTTTGTTGGGGGGGGGGGGGGGGGGTTCATATAAATGACTGTATATTAAGCTTCATATACCGCACAGAATGCCTGGAAGCTGTCACTGACCCAAATCAACTAACCGTCACAGCTTACACTATTCTTAAATCTATGGCGCGACTTGGCAAGCTGATCAGACTGAAGCAACTCAGGTCACCGCAAACCAAACTGAAACCCTAGATACACGATGAACATCAAATGCCGCAGATACATCTACAGGTTGTTGGCCTATTCCAGAGCCAAAACTAAATACTACAGTCATGAAATTCGTTTAATGGGATTATTGTTCTCAGCAAGGAACCCGCCAAGGGACAATTTACCCCGAGCAGGGATATGTATAGGCCATCTGATAAATGGACAATAGACGGATAGTGCAATTGAGGTCAGAAACAGTCGCACGCTCGAAGAACCACACTCATGTGAATGCTATGCTCATTCACGGGCTTACGGGTATCACCCGATCAAAGAGAATAATATAAAACAGATAGGGGGGTTAAAACAATGGTAAAGAAGAAAAACGAATCTCATGTTGAAGCCCGGACAACTGATCTTCAACCAGTCTTCTCTTGGCCCCGGATGATTCCTCCTGCCCGGTGATAGGATGATTTTAGGGCCACGTCCTGCAGAGGATGGAGAGGCGTTAAAATTGACAGCGGACTACCAAGACAGGACCAGCAAAGAGAGGGTTAAAAAGGGATCGGTGTTTGAAAACTATCCTGGGCCGAGTAGCGAGGCGTAGCCGTTCCTTGAGGCAGCAATGCGGGCGGTAAAGTACGACCAGGAGATTTTGATCTCTGCGCGGCAGCCTGACTTGAACCAATAGCGAGTGCAGACGGTAGATACGGGGCTCTAGACGACTGGCAGGCGGACGGAGATTCGTCCTGGGAAAGCGGGAGCCCTTGAGGAGGACTGGACGAGGGTTTCAAGTTTGAGTCCGACCCTGAACTCGACGGCGGCGTGGGCTCTATAGTGGATTGGATACTCTGCGGTCGGCTGCTGCTTTTCGGCACGTAGGGCTGGTGTTGGATCTGGAGGGCCTGGTTCAGCTGCTCGTCTGTCCACCCGCGGCCGATGTGCACCTCATAGTGCCCGTGTTTCTGGCCCAGAATAGAGGCCCGACACCACAGGTCGGCGTCCTCTGATTTTGCGAAGCCAATGACAAGCCCCTTGCTACTGTCCCGCAGGTAAACCATGGACGGGGCTAGCGGGAGGTACACGGCGCTGGGCTCGTTGGCGAAGATGCGGGATTCTCGATTGCGGTTCTGGTAGGATGCTGCTTGGTTGGGCGAATTGAAGCTGAGCTTGAGCTCCTGTTTCTGAAAGTAGAAGAAGACATCAAGGGCAGGCTGGGAATGAGACATCGTGAGCTTTCGGATGAACGAGGGAAAGGGTCAATGATGCTGCACCACCACGACCACTACCACCATGAGCTCTTCACCTTGGAGGGGAGGGAACAGAATTTAAAGGAACCGAAGCTTCGCTCAGCCTCTTAAGCTACGAATTAGTTCCTTGAGCGGATCCACTTATAGGGCGCCCGTGTCTCACTTTGGCGCAGTGATTACTGGGGGCCGCATCGTCCAGCCCGTCAATCAAAACACTGAGAGTGATGATGGTTTAGGGCTTGGCAGGCTGGCAGCCCCCCGTTGGTTAGCAGCACTGCCTCGCTGTCCCGTATTTCTGCCTCCCAGCTGAGAAGAGATTCAGCTGGAGGGATAGATTCAAACCAAATAAACTAGAGATTGCCTTGCCCAACCCATTAAGGAATATAAATAAATACAAGAACCAAAATCAAGCCTAAAACTCTGCTATTCTTCTTTTGTGGGCATGGAAAGCGTTGGCTGTCATCCGTTGCGGCCGTGGAGAAGACCATCCCGACCAAGTGGAAAGGGCAGTGTGATGCTCACGGCATGCCTGCAATTTCTGGCCCAGGTACTGTCATCAGTTGTAAAGACTGCTCAGTGTGAGTGGCCCTACATTTCCCGACGTATTCCGGACATCAAACATGCACCATGACTCTATATTGAACCACCGGGGCCGAGGTAGTTTCGCGGCCCATGTCCATTAGTTTAGCCTTTATTGTCGTGCCAACGGTCTACCATGGCTACTCTGCCAGGGAATACTTCGTGCAAATTGAGCTTGCAATAGGGAGATCTGTACCGTTGCAACTGAAAGTGCCACCCCCCCCCCCCTCCAGGTCTATAACTCGCTTGACTCTCCTGCAAGTATAACCAACCATCCATCTGCCCCTAACCCCGTAGTCCCTGCTGGAATTGGCTCCTTGCTCGAATTCGGTCGCCGTACCGAATAAAAACAAACGGAATCAAAGTCATCAGAAGACTCAAAAACCCTAGAAGACTACATGCCCAAGCGATTCCCAATTGACGAAACATCGGAGTGGCGGCCAGAGGCAAAACGGCGCCAAAAACACTGCGACAACAGCTGGCGGCTGCCATCGCACTGGCGGCGTATTCGTGATACGCGTCAACCAGATAATTGATGAGGGCCACGAAAATGAGGAAAAATGCCATCCCGAACGGGATCCCCGCCAGCATGGGCACAATCCAGTGGATCCCCGCCGAGGCAGTCCAGCCCAGCCAGAACAAGGCCAACACATATAAAGGACCCCCAAGACACGCCAGGGGAAGTCGTTGGTATTCCTCGATGCTGGACCAGCTGGCCTTCCTCGCTTTTGCGCTCCGGAGTATCGCGTCATACCATAGGAAAAGCGCCATCCCGATGCAAGCTCCAACCGCGACTAGAAGAAAGGTTAGCTTCGGCAGGCGATGATGATGATGGTTCGGCGAGATAAGCTGGATCTTACTCGGAATGAATGCTAAGCCGGCGACTCCATCACTCATACCATATATGCCTTGGAATATCAGGGGATATGCCTCGAAGTACATGACTTGGAGGAGCGTCAATTTCATGTCGTTGGGATCGAGAGCGAGAGAACTTACAGAAGATGGCACTGGCATAGGAGAGGTAGAGACAGGTGAACGAAATGATCGGTTCGCAGAACAGCATGGACAGAGGTCGAGAGAGTGCCTTCAGGACAAATCCGTCTCCCTGTTTCTCCGTCTTCTGCTTCGCAAGGCCGGGCTGGGACGTCTCTGGAAGGAACAAAACGGGAATAAGACTGACACCGGCGATGATCAGAGATATCCAGAAAATCCATCGCCACCCCACCGGTGCAATGAACCCGGCGACAAGGGGGGCAAACTGAGGCCCGGCGGTCGTCACCATCATTGCCAGAGCCATGGTCCGCCCACGAGCCAGAGGGGAGCGATACACGTCGGCGAAAAGACCCCCGGTGACTGCAATCGGGCTCGATGCGCAAATTCCACAGAGCGTTCGGAAGATGATCAAGGCCGTCCAGTTCGGAGCAATGGCGCAGGCTAACGTGAAGATGGTGAATAGGACGTAGGTTCCCACCAGCACGATCCGTCGGCCGTGAAGTTCGCTCAAGGGAGCAAAGGCAAGAGGCCCGGTCACATAACCGAGAAGATAGACCGAGGTGGGTAGAACCAGCTGCGTTTCATTCTGGACCTGAAGACTGTCTGCGATGAAGCGAATCCCACCACTGGGAATCGTCGAGTCGAATACGCTGTTGAACAGCATGAGAAGGCCAGTGATCACCACGAATATCTTTCGATGCTATTCATCCAGGTTAGGCTGTGCTACTCATTTCTTAGCGAGGTTTTTTCCGACGTACCGATTGCCATTGAGCTGGATCTAACGCAGGTTGTAGAGACCCCATGTTCTGGGACTCTGTTTCCTCATTCTTGTCCTTTTTCGTTGTCGCGACGCCCATCCTCTCCCAATACTATACCACAATACTTGTTCGAAGCGTGTACCGAAGGCGGACATCTTCCATCGTGATCAACTTATACTGAAATGGGTCGTCCACCGCTGCCATGCAATTCCTGCCGACGAAGAAAGCAGAGCTACTCATGCCGAGATACAAAGATGCAACTCATACCGAGATGCGCTATCTAATTTAGTGCGGTGGGGATTCCAATCCCATCATTGGAGGGTACATTATTAGTGCAACTTAAGCAAGACCAACTTGACTAAAATCAGACTAGGACTCGAGGACCATCTCAGTCACTAACCCTAGCCTTGATTAGCTCGAATGGCTCGGCTTACGCCAAGGGTCGCGAACACGGCTCGAGGGCAACCCTCCATCTTCCCTCGCGAAGACATGCCCTCTTCATATAGATTTGCAGCCAGGGGAGTATGGGAGCTACCGTTGCGCGTACCCGAAAGCGACGGAGAGAATTTACGGTGAGTGAGATAGCACGGCCATGACAGAGCTGCCCTAATATCCGGAGCAGGGCTGTTGGCGCTGTCGTGCACGAAAGGTCAAATGCGACGAGGGGTCCCCGTGTTCAGCATGCACGCGACTGGGCCTCGAGTGCGATGGCTCCAGTATGCGTCTGGTCTGGCTCAATGGCAATGAGTCCTATCGATCCACCGGACGGCGATACATGCACTGCGGTATGCCGCTTCTTGGATGTCCCGAAGAGCCGAACTGACAGGGACATGTAGAGCGCACCTGGGCGAACTATGCCGCCCTCGACTCTCATGTGGTTGATGTCCTGATCGCACAATTGGACGGTGACGAGGCCAGCGAAGCCCCGGAGATGCTGGAGATAGACCATAATCCCTTCTCTGTCTTCCCGGCTGTGGCCCCAACGTCGTTAGTGTCCCCGATGAACCAGGGCCTCGTTTGCAACAGCACGAAGATGCCTCGACCAAGTAGTCGGGAGAAGATGCTTTTTCACCATTATGTCGACTACGTCGCATCTATCATGATGCCGTTTGAGCATCCATGGAATCCCTGGAAACGGTACTACCCCGCCGTCTCTCTGCAGTACTCGGAATCCGGGGAGAAAGCACTGTATCACGCCATTCTAGCCCATGCGGCATTCAACTTTGCCCATTTAGGGCACGACAGACAGAAGATGATGCGGCTGGCCGCATCAAACTATAACGCCTCGATTCAATACGTGAATGACTCTATCCAAGCCTCTGGCAGAGACTTTGATAGCACTCTGGCAGCGATTATGACTCTGATGATGGCAGAGGTAAGATGTAACATCGCTTCTGGTTTTTTTTTTTTTTTCTACCTAATAACGCTTACGCTACTCCAGGTCTACAGCGGCAATTCCAGCAAATGGAAGCATCACCTCCAGGGGGCCTGGGCATTCCTTCTTGGATCCAATTGTAAAGAGCCATGGAACGAATCCGACTTCGCCTGCTTTTCAACCCAGAGCTTACTGATCGTCAAGATCATCGGAGCCACCTGCATGACTGATAGCCATACCCCAACATTGATGCTACCCCCAAGCAATGCATCCACATCGATCACAGCGGCCAGACCTAAGGAAGCAGGCCCGGCAGTTTCTTCCTCCCTACATTCAGACCTAGCATTCGCCTCCTTGATCTCCTGGACTCCTCAGTTTGGATTCACCATCGGCGCCCAGCGACTTATTCTGGAGTGTATTTCCACCATCACGACCGTCAGCCAACAGATGCGATCAGACGCCTCCCCCAGAGCGCACATTATGGCCGACCGGACTGTCTCCCAGGTTCTAGCCTGTCTGAATCTCCTCCAGGCAGAAGCCCTCGATAGCTCTGGTGGAAACATCGAGCTAGGGCCGAATTCCAAAGTCAATGCACCGGTCCCTAAATTGAAATCCGAGGAATTAGCACGATACCAGCTGCACGCGTTTGTCTACGCAACGTACATCTATCTCTACCGAGCGCTATTGGATGTGCCGCCCAAGCGCGTCGCAGCGTACGTGTCCCTGACATTCGATAATATTACCGCCTTTGCCGCGCAGAGCAGTGGGAACTTCTCCCTGTGGCCGGCGTTTATCGCGGCGGTCGAAGCCTACACGGTGGGGGATCTGGAGTCATCGTGTCGGTGGCTGGAGCAGTCGACACATTTTGGACTCGGCAACCGACTTGCAGTCAGGTCGATCATCGAGGAGGTGTGGCAGAGACGGGATGCCTTGTGTGGAGAAAGCGGGATAGACCCGGGGCTCGCGGCGGTGGATTGGAGAGATGTGGCTAGAGACCTCGGGGTAGATGTTCTGTTGGTTTGATCTTGACGCTTTGGCTTATTCTGAGAGAAGAGCACTATCTAGTTCATCTCTGGGCTGGTTAATGTCTCTCCAGACGACATACACATGAAAGCTGAGACCACGGGCAGTAGCCCGCTATCTCGCTTTTTCTGCTCTAGCATTAAACAAAGTTATTTATACCAATAAGTGCGTTTTACCGGTGCACTTATGCCACGAGTAGGAGTGAATCCCGGATAGCTCTTGAAGGACATCTTCACAAGTGACGGAAGCGTTGACTAGACCTCAAAGGGGCAGGTAAAATGAGCACCTATGAATAGATTTATTTGTCACTTGGGCGAAAACGCCACAATGAACCTAGTATAACTCGGTAGGTTCTCACAGATAAAGACAGGCACCTATCCTTTCGGAGGTTGCAGGTAGTCCTTGATTGCAGTCGACTTAGTACAGCATCTCGCGGCTTTCTCGGCGTGTCTGTTCAAGAGTCACTATCGTACTCCGGTCGATTCGAGAGATCTTTTGTTGATATCGACACTGGGCTTCAAATCAGCATGGCCAACGAAGATGTCAGGCCTCTATTTCATCTTGTAGTTTCCCAAGGGTGGGACGACCGGCATATCCCAAGAATTTTTGTGTTGTTCCCAGCACTGGCACTTGTGGCCTATGCGTGCTTCACGAACAGAAAACGTTTTATTTCGATAGTTTACAGTCTAAGACATTATTTAGCTATAATGCGTCAAGCCCCTTTCAGCGCCGAGAAGATAATATCACCTACTCCAGGACAGGAGCCATACAAAACCGTGCTGCCTCCAAGTCGCCGACAGGCAGCGTCTCCTCTGCTGGGTGCTGGGGCTGCTAGCTGGGACGAGATAATACCTTCAACTACTGAGATACTCCGACGACATATGCCACTGCGCAGGGATATCAAGGATCTCCATGGGACTTTCTATTCTCCCACTGGCTTCTCCAACGACGACGTAATGTATCTGGGCCGCTTCCCAGACTATGCCATGCTTAGCGGTGTCCGTTTGCCCAAGGTACAGCCAGACTTCAACATACATACGGCTATTGCTCGGCCTTATAGACCCATCAGGTGGCCATATAATCAAACGATGGGTGAGTTTGTTCCCCCTATAGCTGTACAGCAGCGAAGCCTGTGCTCAGAGGTCAGCCCTAAGCAAGCTGGATCCCGATTACTGGATCGAACTGGACCGAGATTATATGTTACGCGTTCGGCAGAGGCAGGAGCTTTACATGCGTCACGGTAAAGCGGTCCTGGACTATCTTCCAGGATCCGAACATGCTTGCCGAGAATTGATGGAGATGGTAGTGCAGTTTCTTTGTGCGCGATATCCCCACTATTTCCAGCTTCTCAACGATCAGTCTCTCTTACGGAACAATATCATCGGAACCGAGACCGACCTCCGCCTCATCCATCCTCTACATGTTCTTTTGAATAACGTTCCTGAAGATTTTGCCATCATGTTGAGGGACCCAGAAACGGGAGCATATGTCTTCCGGGCTGGTGTTATATGTAGCTCTCTTGGCTGGTCCCTTGGGGTTAAAATGGGCAAGAATATAGACGAGATCCATGAGCCAGTTCCTGACTACGAGGAGAAATTGCAATTCTCTATGAATAGGTAGGCAACGGGTAGGCTTCGTATTATGCTGTTATCACTAATCAGCACCCCAGATTCTTTGCAAAGATGCCCACAGATAGGCCCATCCAACGCGGATCATGGGGGATCGAGATTGATCAACCTGTCCACATGCCCCCTGGAGATCCTATCGCCCTTCGCCATGAAACGCAAAACCCAGATATTGCGCTAGACCGATACCACCTCCGCGTTGACTGGCAGACTCTCCGACGACTCCCGGTATCCGCTGCTGTGGTGTTCAACTTCAAGGTGTTGTTCACTCCGGTGACCCAATTCCAGAATGAGCCGTACATACCTTCCCTCTTTCTGAAGAACTACAGAGAGGCCAAGCCGGGTCTGTTGAAGCACAAGAATACATGGCATACAGAGGCGACTGTTCTGCCTGCATTGGAGCTCTGGGAGAGGGAGCAGAAAGAACAAGGCATTATCCCCAGAAATTGGCAACCTGCCACCTTGGATGACTACCCTTACTACCCTGGATGGGAAGAGCGTTGGAATGCAACTCAGAGTGTCTAGAGAAACCTCAGTACCCGTGTTGCTACGCCTTCTGGGGAGCATGACAGGATACTAGCTTGCAAATCCTTTACAGGTTTATTCCTATCTGTTGTTGAGGTCTATTGTTCGTGCTGTTCTTCGCATTTGATATCTGTTATTCATGGCCACATCAGCATGTCAAAACCTAAGACCACCTTGAGTACTATACTATACATGGAAACCAACATTGATGCAATATATTTTAAGCAGTCGAAGCTTATCTCGAGGTGCTCATTCTATTGCACTAATCCGGAATAGCGCTCTCAAACCCTAATGCCGATGCGGGGAAAGACCCATCAAAACTGATAACGATGTTGATCATTGAACGACCAGAACAGCCATCACAAGAGCGACAAACCCATGCTGTCGCTCTCTATAGCCTTTCATGAGCAGAACTTACCCATGTCCATTCGAGTCTCTCTATCCTTACCCTCAGAAATGCCTGTCTTCGATGCCTCCCCTCTGACGGCTGGAAACCAGTGCCCAAAGAAAAAGCCACGGAGAGTCAAGGGTAAAATCTTCCTCCAGGCGAAAGTTACAATTTACTCAGACCCTCTGCAGGTTGCTACAATTGCTCCCAGCGCCGTCTGAACTGTGACCGTGGCACCCCGTGCCAGAAATGCGTCAAAAAGGGGCTCCAATGCTCCGGTCTCGGGGTACGGTATCGGTTCATAGATGGAGTTGCATCGAGGGGGAAGCTAGCAGGGAGGTCAATGCCTATGTCAAATACAAAGTGGGACCTACACCATTACTCTGTTTACTCGGGCACGGTTAATTCTCTCATCCAGCAGTTCTGGCGAATCCCTTCAGCCACTGGGTCGCTCAACAGTACCCAAGATATCAACCAAGTCTACCGGTTGCAATGACACCAGCTCTCCGAGGGATGAGGGCCACAAACAGAAACAACCACTTCGCTTGCGAATACCGAATAATGCCATATTATCACACAAGCCGAGCGGTCCTTCTCTTGAACCTGCCCCGTCTCATGGCTTGGATCATATTGACCACCAGTCTCGATTCCTGCTCAAATACTGTCAGTCCTTTTGTCCATTGATCAACTCGCGGATAGATTCTAAGTGATAACATAACAGTTTCGGAGAAAGTTGCACCAGCGATGGGCCCCTTCAACACCGTCTTCAACGGCTACCGAGATCTGATTTTGCCCCTGTCGGAGCAAGACGATACCGTCAAAGGCGCGGTATTAGCCGCCGCCGCTTCCCATATCTCGTTAAAATATTGTGAATGGAAGTCGCCAGCTTCCAGGTATCGGATGGCTGCCATCCGAGGATTAAATCAGCGGAGCACCGCCGAAGACCTGAACAAGTCGATCGATTACTCGAGTCTGTCAACTATGGTCCTTCTTCTTGTAGAGCAGATGATCATAGTGGGAACAGACTTCCATATCCTCCTTCGGATGATGAAGAGCTTCATAGAATCCCAGCAGTGCTTAGAGATAGTGGATACGGAACCTCTAGGGACATTCCTGATGCAGCAGATAAGAAAGTACACACATCCTTTCCTATCGGCCTCTTGGACCTCACGCTTACAGCTATAACCTAGGATGTCTCTGTACGCAGGACCATTAGTAATGGGTCTCTCCGCGGCCAAAAGTCTTGAAAACATGTCTAACAAAGACCTGGACTTCTTGTTCAGCTGCCTGAAGATCCATCCGGAGTATTCTTCCGTTATTTTCAAACTAGCCAATCTCATCCGTACGGCAGCTCAAATATACTTGAGTCGGGCGACCAACACGCCCAACCAGGTGATCACGGAGCTGGTCCAGCAGTTCCTCGCAGACACCGCTGCTTACAACGCAACTTCACCGGGAGGCCATATTTTGATTTGGCCATTTTTTATAGTCGGAGCTGAGTGCTCATCCGAGCAAGATCGGGAGTTTGTCACCATGCAGTTACAGAGTCTCTGGGATTGCACGGGCTTTGGAAGTCCGCTCTATGCCATTAAACTGCTGAAAGATATATGGCAGGACGCCCCAGGAACGAATTGGACGCAGACCTTAGTGGATAAGGTAGAAGGGTTCATTATGTGATTAGGGCACGTCCCCCGAGATCTTGTTTGCACTGAAAGTACTTAATCTACAGTTTTCGACCTCTGAGATCATGAATATTTCAGAACGGGTCTCTTTGCTGCGTATCATACTATGCATACATTCTCGTCATCATTCGGGGCCTCTCTCGAGACAGAACAGGAAGCTAAGCTAGGTTTAGAGCACTTCACACCTCTTGGCTCCGGAGATAGGCTTTTGCAGATTCTCCCCAAACGGCAGCCCGTTTATAGAAATGAAAGCCAGGCGCGTTTCCCTGCTTCAGGCCGTCAATTGCCTCGGCAAGAACCTCGCCGAGCCCTTCCTCCTTGATTTCCGGGAGTGTGTAAAGAAGGGTTTTGAATGAGAAAAGTATAGCACGGGTTTGAGGTAAGCGGTGCAGAAATTGTCTCTCGACACGGACACGAGCCTGGTGGTCTGTTAGCCCACATTCGACGCAGATAGATCTATAAAACGTACAGTATTTATATCAACCTCTTCTTGGGGAATCTCTTCGCCCTCGTAGAGGTGGTTCCCAGACGCCGTAAACAGTTGATCTGTAGTCGTGATAGTCCACTGGAGAACAATCAGACATGTCAATTTTCAAAGTCAAATGACAAAGTACAGGTGCAGGTCAACTCACATTGGCGCGTTTGATAAACCTGCCTACTCCGAGCTTTTGGAAAAAGCGATCCATGCTCTTCTCCAGCTTTTCTTTGTACTGTGGGACAGGCTTATGGATATCCCGGAGCTTAAGGCCCAATTTCTGCGAAGTGTTGAAGCCATTCGGAAAGCATGTCACGAATCCTCTGAGTGTAAAGCCATCTCCATCATCGGACGGCATCAGGAAAAGAATGTCATCCTCAATCAGACCGCCCATGGCCCGCAGGGTATCCAAGGGGCTCTCTTCGGGGGAAAGGGAAAGCGTCTCGTCGGTGACCAGGCTATGCAAGGATGCCGGCTTCTCCCCAGCAGACGGGCGCAGCTGAAACATACGAGGGTATCGTGTCGGCAGATATGTCCCCACCAGCCAGGTGTAAAATTCATCGACCGCGGGCTTGACACAATCCTCTGCGGCCAGCACTGTCTCGGGATGCTCTGCCATAATCCTCTTGCGGAGTCGTATGCGGTCGAGATAGTTCTTGTCTATTTCGACCAGCTCGCTGACTGTCCCTTCTTGGATGCCTGGGTTGGAGATAGGTCAGCACTGTTGGATTCACTGTGTGCATGTTGCATATTACATACTCATGGTTAGGTGGTATTTGGGCTTGAATGGCCGGATCTTGATCGGCTCTTTTGTCCTCCAGTCGAAGTCTGGGAGAGGCTCAACCGGTGGGTTGCAGTCTGGCTCGGCCGCATCTTGGTCGTCCCTTGCGACACGGCTGGTGAATTTATTATTCTTCTGCCGCGTTGCTAGGAAGAATAGGCAGCTGGAGATGAAACTGAAGTAGAAGCATGTGGACCATCCCGGCCACTGTACAGGGAGGCTTGAGTTGAGCATTGTAAAAGCAGTCAGATTTCAGGTTGACGGCGAGAATACTATGCTGGTGAGGAGAGTAGCAGATACGTATATATATATATATCTCTCTCTCAGGACCAAGGGTACAAAACAAGACAATTGAAAGCTATAACGTATTCCATGCGTGTACAAACCTTATATACAGCAATCGTCGTGCTCAATTCCCCCACCATTATCGTATATCCGACTTAGTGCTCATCCAACCTGCCTATTCAGGCATTCCGTCGTTATCATCCATGAGTTGCAGATAAGGATAAGATGCGGGGGATGATCTTGACCCCACATCATCTGGCCTGCAACTGCTCATTGATTTAGTCTGCTTATATGGGAGAAGCTGGGCTTCTGAAGCATTGATGCAATCGAGAATTACTAGATGCTCGGTTGAATACCTTGTCTGGGAGATTTTGGGAGCCATGTCTCCTACCGCGTGTTAGGGTTACAACAAGACAACTTTGGCCAAGTGGTCGGGGCTGGACTTGCTGCGGTATAGCTAGATACTCTACTCCGCCTGCCATATAATTCAGCTGCCAATGCTATGATTCCTCACATTTTTAACCCTAGTCCTGGCTTACTAGCACCTAGTAGTAATTTATTCCTAATGTGTGGAAAGTAATAATACATTAATAGATTACTTATTATGAGCAAGTTCATTATTCCAGCAAGAGATAATGAAAATACCGTTATTTCTTCAGGCCGCACTTTTTCTTGCCCTGTTCACTATCCTGCCTCTCAGATACGCCTGCTTCTGGGTATATTGCTGTCCAAAGTCCAAGCCATATTTAAAATAATCACGCCCGGTTGGTGGTTGATATCTGTCTGGGAAAGACAGAAAGTACACGTAGTCCTCGTCACTTGGTGTACCACCGTCCCTTATGCACACAAGCTTGTCGCGCATGATCACTTCCAGTTTGGCCATCGTTCCGTTCCAGAGGAAACCGTCTTTATGGTTGACTTCCGGGCGAATATCACTTGTTGATACGATGCGCCGTAGAAGAGCATCGTGAAGGTCGCAGATCTGCCAAGTGTTGTCGTCCGGCACGAATTTCGTTCCATTGAAAACATGAGGGATATTATCATCCGCTTTGAGCAAGTTGGGGAAGGCAAGCTCTCCTTTCTTTGCCCAGTCGTGTTTCCCTTGTTCGACAATGGGGCCGAAATCCATCTCAAAGGTGACTGTTTGATAATGCCGAAACTTAGGCCCAGTCCTTGGGTCAACGCCGAATTTTATCAACGCCTTCTTCCAAGGACCATCTTCAAACATGTATCCACATAACGGCAGAGCTCTTTCGAGATCAGTTAGACTCGTAGAGCCCATCCAGTCCAGCAATACCCTGACAGTTACTACTGACCGGCGATCCAAGAGCTGCTGTATCTCGTTCACGGTTGCTTCGAGGGAATCATGGGTATTGTACTCGGCTTTGACACGACCACTCTCTTGGGGAATGGTTTTCTGTCTCATACTCACTGTTATTCCGGTAAATATGATCTCTGTTCCGCACAAGTTAACTTTCTTTCCATCATTGTTTCGACTTTCCCCCTTATTCGACAGCAGCTCGCCTATAGCAAGGTTGGTCTTGACCGATCCTGGTATCGAATATCCTTCGTTGTTTTGAGTGTCGAAGCTGGCGCTGCTCATATCAACTTTACTCTGGTGGGAATCGACATCCCCTTCGTGGCTCTTCATGACCGGGCCCACTTTATTCAAAGTTCGATGGGACAGGGCTGATTATTCTGTGGGATAACACTGTCTGCTTGGGTTATTTCAGGTTAGTGTTCATAATCTCGGGTGTTGATTAGAATCCCCTCACTTACTGTCAAACGAACAAGTAACACTGAGCTTGGTTGAGAATCTTCCTAGGCTACAGAACATTATCCTTTTTGTATATATCTTATGGTTTCGTCTTTTCTGAGTTCTGTTGAATTGTAAATTATGTGAAGTGCAGAGTGGGTGAATGACTTAAGACCTTTGACTGGTAGGTACCCAGGTATTGTGTTCTAAGCAGATATAGCTATAAGTTGTGAAGGTCCTAGTTAATACTCGAAGATTTGCAGAAAGGACTCTGGTATTGTTCTTTATCAATTTATCCTCTCCTCATTATGGAAAACAGCAAGAGTCGATCCTCGAGCCCAGCTCTACCTAGAGAGAATGTTTCCCCAAGCAGCTCTGGCCAAATTGAAACACTCACAGAAGAGCAGCACGCCCTCATTAACAGCATTGGCAACAAACAACTAGCGAGCCGTCTCCATAAGCGCACATTGAAGATCTTCACGAGGGAAGAGCGGTTGGACGCTATTGAGTTCTACCGGACACACGTGCATATCAACCCTCAGACAGGCGAAGAACACAACATTTCGGTTGCCAGCGCGTCCGAGGTACTTCATATCAGTACATCTACGTTGGAGAAGTGGATTAACGAGGAAACAAAGATCACAGCTATGAAATGTGGAAACTCCAGAGACGATGGTGGAAGATATTTGTCCGCGGCCCCCATGTCTGAGCGGTTCGCATCCGGACATTATCCCTTCCTTAGGCTAACACCAGAGCAACTCTCAGCCAAGAAATACATACAGGGAAAAGATCTTTACAAGGTATGCCCGAATGGCTCTTAAATCACCAGTCGTATACTAACAGCATCAGGTGCATCCCATTACCCATCCGGTGCCGTTCATAAGCATCGAAGGCGGGCGTCGTGGCAAGATTAAAAGCTTCGCAGATGCGTATAAATTTCTCGGGCAAGCAGAGGGCACTTCACATCCCGGGCATCCTCGTGAACCTGGCTTAGGTTCGGAGATACGGTTGCGACAGCCTATTAACGAGGCTGCTGCTCCCCCGTGTCTCGAAAGTTCATCAGGGCATAGCCTAAAGTATGAGAACCCAACGATACAGAAGGTTAACTCTCTTTTATATCACCTTGCGCCCGACTATAGTCTCCGGCAACCTGGTCTAGGAAGGTGTACACCGTGCTATAAAGAATTGGGGGCCTGTGTTAGTGTTATATGCGAGCATTTGGTCACTGCCAGTGATAAAGTAGGCTATAGACGAGCCCATGTGTTGAAATGACTTCTCTAACGCTTCCTTTCTCTTGAGCTTGAGTCTGCCATTCCGGTCCGAATCGGTTTCGACTACGATGAGCCCTTCGAAGGTGCGCCTCCACATTGGGCCATAAAACTACTGCACAGGACAAAGTTCAATATTCTGTTACCTCTGTCGCTCTGCCTGAGGGGTTCGGTCAAGCAGGAAGTAGTCCCAGACACACTCTTGCTCCAAGGTTGGACGACAGATTACGAGATCCTGAAGTGCAGGACGCGAAAGCGACAAAGAAATGAGGACAGAGAACACGCAATCAGGTACTCACAAGAGTTCTACCGGAAGTCTGAGCCTATTTTTGAAAAGTTTAGGCTGGTCCCAGTGCTGTATATCGAAGACATCGAGATGCTCTTCTTGAAATCGCAATCCTGGAGACCTCGTCGATTCTCCCCAACATGGACACTTTATAGCACCGTTCTACATTCCAGCTATCGTTCAGGAGACACCTTGACTCCGATATACGGGAAATACACAGATATTGGATTAATTGTCGATGCGATTGTCACAAAAGCGCCACAAGTGTCTTTCTCCGCTCCGGCAGTACGGCCATTTCAGCTTGTTTCACTGGATCACTTTTCTCTTATTCCCCAGGTCTCTGAAAACACAGTGTTGTCTCAATTCTCTAAACACTTAGAGATTTCTGACACACCTCCAAGCGGGGAATTGAAACTTGAATATATCGAGGAAACACTTGCGCAAGATGCCCAAACGACCTGCAAGCGCGAATTCCGTAAGAAGCTCGTGCATGCATTGAAACTTAGTGTTCGAAAGAGCCTCGAGCACATTAATGGCAAGAAAAGGTGTCTGTACTATACTTGCCCAGAATCACAGGAGGCTCCGGTATCCTACTACTGTCGTCACCATTCCGAGGCGCTTGTCAACTATGTGATGGATCCTGTCGAGCCACTAGATCAACTAGCTTACCACGTCCAAAAGCGGGAGGTAAATATCACGGACGAGACTCAAGACAGCTTACGGCAACTGAAAATATTGCACGAAAGACCTGAAAAAACTTGGATTCTTGATTTCGAGTACATATCGTTGCCGAAGAGGTATTCGCCCATTCCACTGCAGCTTGCAATCAGACAATTGGACGGAAAGCTGCTATATCAAGGGAATATTGACTACGGTCTGTCCATGAAGGAGTTTATGGATGCGACATCCTCGTATGTATCAGCTAAGCACGGAATGATGGGAACTCTTTTCCTAAGGTGCTATGGTGGCCTCAATACCAACGGAGAGACGTCACATCAGGTTAGGGACCAGATCATCACAGTGTGCGGTTACAATCCAAAGGATACTAAGATATTATCTTGGTTTGCGGCCCAAGACATGCAGTGTTTCCTCCGGATCTTGGCAGGGGGTAATGAGTTAGTCCAGGAGAAGGTGTCTCACGAGGGCCACGATAATTTCCAGACAATCAACATCGGACTTCTTTGCCGAAAGCTGTTCCCTGGTCTCCCCTCAACAACCCTTCAGTCAGTGCACGAATTCATGGGCGCAAGCGAAGGGTATTGCGGAGAATACCATACTGCGGTATATGACACGAAAGCGATGGCAGCAATAGTGAAGGCTCTTGTGCAGTTATTGTAAGCCGAGCACAGGGTTCCGGAGAACAAGCCGAAGGAAGTATCTAAAATCTGGGCCAAGAATGACATTCCTTGTGTTAGATGGACGAGAGAGAGAGTAACAGAAGTCACAAAAACAAAAGGAAAAAAAGTCGACACCAGTGAGATTCGAACTCACGCCCCCGAAGGGAATGCCTAGACTAGCTAATCCACGTAGTGGGTATAGCAGGGCACCGCGTTGGGCCACTCCGCCATAGTGCCTTGTTCGTGAATTAAGCTTTTTGCAATGTTTACAGGAGCCCAGTTTAGCAGATCCTTGTCAAATTCGTTATAATCGCACAGTAACCTGCTGGACCTGCCAGGACTACTATGTACTACAGGTCATTATCATTACTACTACATATCACGCAATGGTTACGGCTCAGCCTTTCTTCGGGCTCATTGTCAAGATCGTTTTTATTGAAAGAAGTTCCATTAAAATGCCTACATGGCGCTAGCCTATTCCGTGAAGTATGCTTAAAAGGTCCACAACAGACGATAGCCAATAACTCAAACCCAGATTCAAGACCTTAGCGCTGGAAACAACACAAAACCCTTGGAGTTTAGACAAGAAAGCGATGTTCTCCTTATTCTACCGAGATATCGTCTCGATAAGTCTTTCTTTTCTTATGTCTTTCGTCCTACAAGCTCATTGTTAAAAGAACACCAAAGCGCTTGAACACAGTGGAGTCTTGACACCTCATAACCTGTAGACACCCAAAGTGGTTGCAAATATACATATAGGTTCTGGCAACCATTACAAGGAGAGGCCTATTAGGGGGGTATTCCCAAGGCTCACGCTAAACCACGTCACTAGTTGAATATATATGGGTGGTGGTTAGCCAGCTCTACCCTTATCTCGCATGAGTCTTGCCAGGAACTTGGACTTAGAGAGGTAAGTAGTTAGGCAGCTAAGCCCGCGGACTTGAAGTGTATGCTGATACTGATATAAGGTGCGCTAAGAAGAGCACATTCCGTCCATAACTTCGTGGAATTGTAGGTTATGTGATACTGTTGCAAGCTTTGATTGTTATGTCCTAATTAAGGAGTCTTTATTGTCGTCTTGGCACTTTGGCGGAGTGGCCTAACGCGGTGCCCTGCTATACCCATTGTGTGGATTAGCTGCCCAGGCATTTCCTTCGGGAGCGTGAGTTCGAATCTCACAGGTGTCGACTTTTTTGCTGCTTTGGCAAGCGCATTGCTGTTGGTAGTTGCTGTATTCCCTCGCGAGATGAAAATGCTCCTGGGGAGGGCGGTCGATGTTAACTCACGCGGAAGTATTTTACCTGGCGAAGAAGGTATGATTGGCTAAATATGAGACCGCCTTCAGCTATACCAGATTAGTACTAGTACACTCGAGGTATCTTCAAAAGGCAGCAGGGTTTAGTGGAGTTTTTGTATGGCGAACCAAAACAGTATGGCCATTATCACCATGCGGGTCTATTACACCCTGGGCCCTTTCTATACTCTAAACCATTCCAAATTGACAGATAAAGGCACTATGGCGGAGTGGCCTAACGCGGTGCCCTGCTATATCCACTACGTGGACTAGCTAGTCCAGGCATTCCCTTCGGGGGCGTGAGTTCGAATCTCACTGGTGTCGCTTTTTTGGTCAAGATTTTTGAATCCATTAAATTATCATCGAGCATTAATTACTAAATAAAGTGTAACTAACAGCAGTAGGCTATATTATATATTTATTATATAGATAGGTGCGAGCCAGGCAGGGCATTCTGGATCATACAGAATAGTCCGACCTTTTGGCCCAGCTGGGAATTTGGACGTGCTTGCCTGGACACATCCCAGTAGGGATACTATACTCCCTACTACTCCGTATGGATAATGGGTCTCGGTTCGTTGACTACATCCTGACTAGCGACAGTAACCGAGGTCGACCAACCGCGCAACGAAGCCATGACACATGCCCTCCTCACATACGGAAAGAAAGAAGAACAAAAAAAGGAAAGCATAAAAAAAGTAATTTCAACTCTGACACACACACCCACCCTGACTGACGCATCTTCCTGGTGGTCGGTCCATAGAACAGATTTAGACCTAAAACATAAATAAAAAATACGACACCAGTGAGATTCGAACTCACGCCCCCGAAGGGAATGCCTGGACTAGCTAATCCACGTAGTGGGTATAGCAGGGCACCGCGTTAGGCCACTCCGCCATAGTGCCTGTGACCTGTTATTCTAACTCTAAACATCGTACAGACCTAGTCAAGTATATGACGTTCTTGGGAGAAGGCGCATTGTCATGTTTATCAAAACTCCCACAATCAGTTTTGGCACCTCATGCTCTGCTGTTTTCTGGCTTAAGCATTTATTTCTAGTTTGGTGATGACGAGCTAGCTATTAGTTTTAGTTTTTATTTTACTCGAAGTTATGTTAGATATTCAAAATGCACGCTTTTGGCGGTACAATATTGCACAGTCAGGTCAATATAGCAATATAGTATATACCCGCGAGATTCACACCTTAAGCAGTGCCAAATAATGATCTCAACTTTTGCAATGGCCACGCTTTCAGCAACTGATACTTCAAACCCTGAATAGCGTCGGGATTCTGATTGTCACCACTAAAAGTATGATGGATGCTGGCAGAGGACCCTTGAGAAACCTGATCTTGCTGTGCAACTGATTTCCCTGTATCCTGTCACAACTCACAAGAGGGTTGACCGTATGGCGATACTGTCTCTGATAGTATCGATTAAAGTCCTGTCTGTTGCTTATTATGATGTTTTACTCCCCCCCTGTTTTCATACATCTGATGACAACCTATTGACACCCTGACGCTCGTTATAGCCTCGTACTTCAACTTCTGACCTTGCTTTATCCAGACAACAATCCATGCACACTGTCATTCCGGGATGTGCAGCCGAATATATCAACTCGAATTGCCATCTGAAAAGGCAATATAAATTCGAGTAGTATCACCCAATTTCCAGAATGATATTAATAATACACAAGCAACATTGCCTGATCACAGCCTGCCACACCTCACAAATTACCCAGATAACCTTCGAGGGCGAAACCACCTTCAGGTACAAGGAATAGCCCGACCCATTAATCAACATGTCCGGAATCGCGAGAACGGTAAAACAGTCCTCCAGCGCAAAGATCAACTACAACAAGGCGCGTTGGTCGGACGGCAAGGGCGGCAGCGAAGGCAAAAGGAGCTTAAGTTCTTTCAGATGCACAGATTGAACAAGTCCAGCATCATAGGGTTGGGAATCTACAATGTCCCCGTGCATTGGTTTAGTATTTAGTCAGACCACCTAACAATCATGGATATCACAATTAATGACTTGGCAGGCACGGCCAAGAGACATCATACCGATACATTTAATATTAGGCAGAGTGCTTATATGACTATTAGTTAATAAAGCGAAGGTTTATAATCAGAACAATTATTTAAAAATCAACTCTAGAGAGGTTAGTCACCTATCCACTATTTACCACACGCAGCTTAGAGAGTATACTGATCTTGACCAGCACATCAGCTTCAAAGCAGCGACTACGATGGCAGGCACGGCCTTTCAATCAGGTCTATCGGTGGACGCAAATCTAACACCATCGAGGATGCAACAATCTCCGACACACGAGTCATCAACAGCCAGCATAGCGCGCGTGTTAAAAGCGTTTACAGCACAGCCGGGGCGGTCTGTAGAGTCGTTAACTACCGTATTGAATTAGGATCATTTCTTTGTGTAGGGCATACCTGCATAGGCTCTTTATTTCGACTGTATAGCCTATACATACCCTTGGCTATTATGCTCCCAGGTTGTACTCCAGATTACAGCTGAAGCATTCTTAAACCGGTAGTGTTGGGTGGTAAATCACTAATACTGACAGAATATATCAAAATATGCAAAACTGCTCAAGAAGTTGATATCAATCAAGAGATATATATTTAGTCTCAATGTACATGCATGGACCCGAATTCCAGATTATCCACTCTCGGTAATAGACAACGCCTGTCCTAGATCCCCACCTACCTGAGATGTCTATTGACATATCCACCACCACCACCCGAGGAAGTGTTTTCAAAACGTATTTGGGTGTTCGTGGCCCAAAGCGCGAATATACCATGGTAGAATACAACATTACCATCATCCTGCGCCCGAACAAAGAAATTGTTGCCCTTGGGACAGTGAGTGTTTGTCTGCCAGACAACCCCGCCATTCTTGGCACTATAGATGATATCGTGTTAGCCTAGGGGACCTCGGACTTAAATCTAACCAAGGGTGACGGGGGCGAGGAGAAAGGGTTAGGTATAGAGAGAAGAGTAGGGAACTTACTATAGGCAGAGATTTCCTTCCTCTTCCAGCTTGAGCCCCCGGATATCCTGGCCCTGTCCGGCCGTATTTTGGAACAGACATTTGCCGTCGTGGTACACGACCATTTTGCCATCGGTCTGTACCGTGAACTTGATGCTGCCGTCCTTGGGTTCCAAGCTGTGGCCAGCTTCCAGCCATTCGCCCGGGGAAAGCGTGTCTTTGTATCGTGGTGGCACGGGGTCAGGTCGTATGTATGTGTGTTCACCATTCCACTCCTTCCAGTACTCATCAACATAATATCCCCAGTCATTTCCTGAATTCTTGGAGTGCGCTCTAAGCACATCTCCCGCCTGGTGCACAAAGTTATTGCTCGATGTTTCACCCCACAAGTGCGAGTGTTCCAATCCAGAGCGAATCCATTCCATATAGGTCTTGATCGCATCCCAGCCACCGCCCGTCACTGTATAGCTGTGTCCACGTTCGGGGCGGGCACCAATACTTTGAGCAACCCAGCGTTTCTCTTCTTCCCAAGGACAATCAATATGTCTCAGAATATGAGAGCTAAATTTCCGGCTGGTTTGTTCTAAGGCCTGCTCAGTTTCGCTTGATGCGCCAAGCATCACCCAAGTGTCGTTATGCTCAAGGTAGATGCGGATACCGTAGAAATCTTTCTTGTGTGTAGTCTCCAGAGGTGCAGCATACCAGTCATGGCCAGAGTACTCCCATGAGCGCGGCGTCAGATGTTGCACGGCGGCCATGTTGAGTGACTGTAAGAGTCGATTGTTGTTGAACGCTACAAGACAGCGTTTGCAGAATAGTTCGGTAATATATGTCTTGCAAGGCCTAGTTGGCAAGGATAGATGAAAGAACTTCAAAAAAAACAATGGAAAGTTGATGATATGAGAAATATTTTCTGTCCGGATTTTCACGCCCTTTTATATTCGTCGCCCGCCGACCTACATGTAGCTTGCTCTACGGCGTATACGTCCCACATATCTCACCTCCTATATCAACTGGCAGTGACAAAGTTTTGAGACACGTATATAGATACAGACGAGGTGACGCTAACATGCTCAGCTGAAGTGGTGGATCAAAGAATAGGCATTCACCACTTGGCATTGGGAGGGGGGGGGGCTCATTGCAGAACTTCAAGGCTCGTCATAGACCGGTGCATTAGTATCCAGATCTACTCAAGATGATGCCGTGACTTTGACATAATGAGCATATGAATCGATGATCACTATCCCCGGAGTAGCGGTGTAGAAGATAGAAATGGATTATTAGACTAATATTAGATCTATTTTGCGAACTCCGAGGAATAAGATGGCATGAGATTCACGGTCAGATCGTCGGCCATGATCGACAAGCTCAGCCAGCCGCTCGTTCAGTTTAAAAAGCGCCCAAGAGATATTCATAGGGAACTTCCTGTGGTTCTCAACTTCTCCTGGTACCGATTTGTACCCACTGGACGCCTTAACCCACCAAGGCTGTGGGGACTTGAGATTTTACACAGTAGAGTCGTAGACACGTAAATGAAATCGCCCCGCCTCATCCCTCCCCACTGGAATACGCGAGTTTCCAGCGGAAAACTCTTCCGGAAAGATATTTGCTGCTACGCGGTATACCATCCTCTGTACGGGATACGCAGCTGAATTATGAATCACATAAGTCGCTGATCTGCCCCACCACTATATAGCACTGCCACTTCAGCTGAATTACGGATTGTATTGTTAGTAGTTACGTCTGTCGGTTCTACCAAGGTCTCTGTGATCAGTTAGCTATCTTGGTTAGATACGACGTGCCATAATCACTAGAATCTACTAGTACTCGATAACGGGATAGTGTTCGACAGTAAGGATCATCATCTCTGGAGATAGGCTTGATCTAATAATGAAAGTCCAGCTGTACCTATATTTTGAGTCTTTACTGATCTTCTTCGTTGCATGACATGATGTGTTTAGTATATGGGTATCGATTGGTCTTGGCTTGGGTCATGGCATAGATCTCGTCCTGTCTCGGCTCTTCACACTTGGTAGTGGGACATTTATGTATGCCGGCAATTCAACATTCGGCTATCTATTGCTTGCTTATATCGGAATTCGATCACGCACTCCTGATGGGTTAAGGAACAAGAAAGAATGTCCTCTTTGTCACTCGGACCACACCTTATTCACTACATATTCACCGACCCTACCTTTCACTTCTAATCCGCAGAGACCTTCTGAGACGTTGTAGGTTGTTGAGAGTTTTACTGCAATTCTAACTTCACAGGGCTGCCTGCAACCATTAATAATCCATGGTTGCAATTACGCCCCTACCGGCAGGAGTTACTGCTCCTTGCCCAGTGACTCGACAACACGCATGATGTACATAGAATAGAGTACGACGATAGACTCCCAGGTCTGAGGTCCAGCTCATCACGCAACCGAGAGGATGATGTATGTACAGTGTCTTTTATCGGGGTTGAGGAGACCTCCAATACTATATAGAAAGCTAGCAATGGCCAGTCATTGTTGATAGGTTCCCGTCAAACACAAACTGACAACTGCTCATATATACTAACTAACATTGTAAAAAAACTCGAGGGAAAAATGAAAAAAATCGACACCTGTGAGATTCGAACTCACGCTCCCGAAGGAAATGCCTGGACTAGCTAATCCACGTAGTGGGTATAGCAGGGCACCGCGTTAGGCCACTCCGCCAAAGTGCCTTACTGTGTTGAAATTCACTCATACTTTATGATATATGAAGGAGTTTAGTATGTTACCCTGCTAAATAAACTTGCTTATAGCAGCACCGATATTATCATCAGCTTAGTCTTTCATACTGATATTGTCAGGCATCAATAATGTCTCCTCTTCTTGTCACTGGGTCCTCCTTTCTCTTTCTTCGAGAAGGGGAACTTGCCGGTAGGAATTGTTCTGACAGTAGACATGTTTCCCATACTCCCTTGCCATTTACCTGGCAGTCTCCGTTTAGTTGAAGACATCGTGTATTTCTTCCCTGAGGTATCGAGCAGCACCACCATTTCTGGCTCTCAGTAGATAACAGAGATTTAACTATACAGGTAATGAGTGACCCCACGTAAGCTGCTTGTTATGCTGTTGGACGCAGCCATGGAAATAATATCCTAATCGAACCGTATACTTCTGCTGTGTACAACATTGACAAGGTATGTACATCGCAACCCATCTCAATCATGATTCACGAGCGACTCGATGTTTATGTTTTGATCATTTCTAACTCACCGCTGACATCGTTATCATTTCCTAACTCCTTAGCTGAATAAGGTGTGCCCCGCCAGGTACCGGGCAATGCCAGTAAGGGTTATCGTTTAAAAACAGGTGCGCCTCTTGGTAGTCGAGTATCATAATTCAAGCATTAAGGTCAATAATGGGGTCAATATGAATCTAGGCGGTTAAATGTAAGTGTAAGCATTAGGATATTGGCTATGTTGATGGCGTCAGGATCAAAGTGCTTCTCGACAGTATGACTTGTCCATCGTGGCCATGCACATAGGCTACGGTGAATATTGTTGGCATTCGTTCACATCACTGAAGATGTATTTCTCCTTCTAGACATATTTGACTCCTTTTAACTCTCCCGATATGACTGCTCATCACTGAGTCTACGACTAGTCGCGACTAGTATGCGATTAAACGGGAAGGTTGTGCAGCGTGCTTCTTGACTGCCTTGAATATCCACTGGCAGTCAACTGTGCGCCCTACTATGGGCATTGGTATCAGGGTACTCCCCTGCATGACCAGAAAGTCGTCCATATTGTTAGTCCATATCCGAAAGGGTGTTCGGCAATTCATATAGAGAACATACAGAGAATCCAAACGTGCTTATGGACTGTAATAGTAGAGTACTGAACCCCTTGATAATGTATAAATTATCCGAACTTCGACCAATAAGGCACTATGGCGGAGTGGCCTAACGCGGTGCCCTGCTATACCCATTACATGGATAGCTGCCCAGGCATTCCCTTCGGGGGCGTGAGTTCGAATCTCACTGGTGTCGCTTCTTTTTTTATCTTCTTTTTTTTCGGTTCACTTCCCTGATAGCGGCCGTAGAAGGTATGTATCGATCGTATATAGAATGATACCTTGGTCACATTACTACTACTATGCGTGTAGAAACTTTGACCTCAGCTCTTAATCGAGAACAGTTTATCACTATGTGGTTGTATACTTCCTCGTTACTGAGACCAGAAATATGGTGTGAATGAATCGTTATTTTCTTGTTCTTTTTTCCCTTTTGGTTGACTATGTTTCCTATATGAAGAAGTTCTCCGCCTCTATATAACAGATAGTAGTAGGAGATAGGACGGCTAATTGCATTCTCGGAAGTATCTATGGTTCGATCACATCTACAGCGTAGTGTACCCAGGGCATTCTGGATCGTTGATCCAGAATTATCTGACCTTTTGGCTGTATGGAATAGTGCCCTGGCTATCCCTTACACATAGCAGATTGGCACTCCGGATTCGTATCAATGATTGTCTGCCAAAGGTTCACAACGCCGTTGCTTTCCCAACCCTCGTAGCGAATATGGTCTAGGACTGTTCTAACAGAACACGATCATTGTTGGTGATGGAGCCGTCATCACCTTGTGCAAGCATACGCTCGGCTACCTTTCTGTAAGCCAATTTATGGGCTCGATGCTTGATTGTATTCCTCACTTCGAAGTACAGCCACCGTCGACAGTGGGCCAGGAGCTTGATTCTCTCGAACGGGCTGCGGCCGTCCAGCTCGTCCCTGGAGTCCCCAGCAGGACCACCCCTGGTCATCACCCGCTGTTCGATCTCGCTGGCGGTCAGTTCATACGCCTTGTTCTGGACCAAGGTCGCCAGCTGAACCGCGCTGATGGGCTTCTTTGCCTGTAGCATGACACCCGTCGTTAGGTGTTGAAGCTCACGTTTACCCATCAGGTAATCGGCCACGTTCTCAGCCAAAGTATCAGCGAGAGAGGCATAGGTATGTGTTTTCTCCGCTCGTTGGACCGCTTCAATCTCAGATGTGAATAGAACCGTGAGCAACTCGCTGAATACAACTCCATCCGAAAAACGGGGCGTAGGATCCGCCGTCTTCATTTTAGGGCTACGTATCAGAGCCGTCAGCTTCGATGGGAGTTTGATGAGATGCGTGAAGTATTTGGAGCCGTATAGCTCGGGACACACAGACGCAGCGGTCAGGTGGGCGAAGTCATGGAGGTCCCAGATTGCAGACGAATTGTTCAGCATGTCGGTACTATCGGTATCGAAATCTTTTTCGCGAACGGCAATGTGGCCTGGGCCAATGGATGATATGGCATTTGGGGGGACGAGTTTTGTTTGGTGGTCCACTGTGAGAGTGTTGCTGTTGACCAGGCGGTGGGCGCCGTAGTTGATGGCACGGATGGCATTGTTGTCGTGAGAGAGGAAGGCGACGATCTCATTGAAGCGGTCTAGGTTGGATTCTACGGCTGGTAGGAACACTTCGCGGCATTCTGAGCGAGTGGCGAGATATAAAACGCCGAACTTATGGACGGAGATGGCTGCTCTCCACAGCGTCTTGTGTTGGTCGAATGGGAGCAGAAGTGACTTGTTGTCCGCTTGTTCCAGAAGGATTCGACATCCTTCTAAGATGTACTGAAGTAGGGGACGCTTGACTTCCGCCGTCCGGAGTCGGATTCTATCAGCGTTGTCGAAGTGAGGATGTGCAGGACAGTGGCCGTCTAACCACCATGTTGAAGGCTCATAGGCAAGAGGAAGCTCTTCGAAGGGGGACAGGTGTACCTCGGGGGGGATGGAGGGTGAATGCGGCTGTTGTTTCGGTGATTGCTTGCCATCGGAGCTCGTTGGTTTAAGGCGCGGAACCTTGAGTGTCTCACGGACGAGGGTTTGGACGGCAGTAATGAGTGACTCCATTATCTCGACTTTTACAGAGACCAGTTCCACATCTCTACCATGGTCGACGTATCTAACGGCCGCCTTTTATAAGAAAGCTTGTACAGCACCAGCACCCTCTGCTCGACACTGCTTACAGTATGTTCCTAATCATCGACATGCGCCACAGTTTCCAATTGGGCCTACGGAATTTCAGGGCTTCGTCATCTCCTCCGCAATTCAGACGCATGGTCTTGCCGACTTTGCAGTAGCGTGACACGCCTGGATCTCTCGCATGTCCGAGAAAGTATGTTGGATTGATACGATCTCATGATACGCGCTGGTGCGACGCTGTAGGCTGCAGGTCAGATTCTAGCCCTGGTGAAAATATACCAGCGATAAGCTCTGCGGAGAGCGATGCTGAGTTTATGGGCAATACTGTTCCAGGCCATTAGACCCAAATGTACCCCGGGCTTCCCCAGACCTTGCAGTGATAGACGAGATATTTTTAGTATGATATTGCTGTAAAGTTCGTGCAAAATGGGGCTTTACTCCGGCCTCCTTGCAGAGCTATATTGTACAGCCAAATGCTGGGCCATTATGGGGAGTGTTGTCTAACAATCCCTATTGTACTTGTTTAGATTGTTGGGTTTTACTTCTACCATTTCAGTAACATATGTCTCACTCTCTCTTCAGCTTCCTGGACTCTTTTCCTCCTATCGAGGATCCCACGAGTCCACAGGAGGATGGAACTAGGGCTGACCCTCGAGGGATCGGCAGCTCCACCCGATTGGCTGTGGAGCCTTCTCGGCGTAATCCGAGGTGCAGGAACCCTTGCATTGATATCCACGGAAATCTAGCTGTCTCAACGCCATTAGGCAAGATTCAAGACAGGATCAGGAAGGAGAGAGCAATGTCTGATGTCGGTAAGCAGACGCGTGCATCCCCTTAGTTTCCAAACCCCTCGGGGATGTATGTTCGATGTGCAGTTAAGCTAAAGCACAGCCTCGTATTGTGCTCCTTCACTCTGGCCTGGACCCACGCGATGTAACTCTGGTCGGGGATAACCAATGATCCCCCTATAGCCCGCTTGTATTAAGGCTTGATTCATGGGGGCTCCCAATTAACCTTAACTCCGACTGGCTGACTCGTGTGGTTAGGGGAACGCCATGAAGGGAAGAAATCAAGGAAGAAAAAAAATTTTTACGCCCTTGCTTCCGCACACGAGGCTCACATACCTTTCAGCCGCGGTGGTGAAAACGGGGTGACTTAATACAGAAACTCAAAGTGCGAAATCCTTTTTCTTTTCTGCTGGTGTGTCCTTCAACTCGCAGGACAGTTGCTCCAAGACCAATCAAGTGTCCACCCATGGCGACCAATCCGACCGCGGAGCTGAAAGGCACGGTGGCTGCCACGGGCACTGAAACTTCAGAGGATGCAGCGAGGCATGTGGATCACGGCCTCCGCGCCTGGACAGTCGTGGCCGGGGCATGGTGCTGTCTGTTTTGCGGTTTTGGCTGGGTAAACGGTACGAATGATCCTCTCTCGTGGTGGCTTCACTCTGACAGGTGCCAGCCATTGGAATCTTCCAAGATTATTATCAAGCCCATCAATTACGGACCTACTCGGCGTCCAGCATCTCGTGGATCTTGTCTCTGGAGCCGTTTATTCTCTTTGCAGCGGGACTGGTGATTGGCAGAGTATGACCCTCTGTAAGCCCTAATTCTTCATAGCATGGTCAGCGTTCATCAATTCTTCAGGTTTTCGATAATTACGGCCCCAAATGGCTCCTCCTCATTGGGACGTTCCTGCACGTCTTCGGTCTCATGATGACCTCCATCTCGCATGAGTACTATCAGTTCATCCTCGCCCAGGGCATCTGCAGCCCGCTTGGCGCCAGCTTTGTCTTCTACCCGGCGCTCTCCTGCACGGCGACCTGGTTCGATAAGCGGCGCGCCCTGGCGTTTGGCATCGTGTCCAGCGGCTCCTCCCTCGGCGGGGTCGTGTTCCCAACGATGCTGGCTCGACTCCTGCCGCGCATCGGATTCGGCTGGTCGCTGCGTATCTCGGGCTTCATGGTCCTGGCCATGCTGATCATTGCCAACCTGACCGTTCGGTCGAGGATTGCGCCCGTCCCACGGCCGGTCAAGCTGACGGACTACGTCGGTCCCTTTTCGGAGATCCCGTTTATCTTACTCATGCTGGCTTCCTGCTGTGGGTTTTTCGCCATGTTTGTACCGATCAACTACGTGATTGTGGAGGCGCAGGAGGATGGGGTCAATCGAGACTTGGCTGGGTACTTGTTGACCATCCTCAATGCAGCAAGGTAAGTTTTCCCATTATTCCTCTTCTCGACAAACTCTCCTACGGAAAAAAAAAAAAAAAAACAAACGCTGGGGTTAACCTGCATAGCCTTCCCGGCCGGATCCTGCCCGGCTACCTCGGGGACAAACTGGGCCGATTCAACGTCATGATCGCCATGTGTGCGCTATCCGCCGTCGTGCTGCTGGTCCTATGGCTCCCGGGCACCCTTCTCTCCCCCGGCAGCGCAGCCATCTACATCGTCTTCAGCCTGCTGTATGGCTTTGCCTCGGGCGCGTTCGTCGGCATGGTTCCCGCCCTCCTGAGCCAGATCTCGCCCGACGTGACCAAGACCGGGGTGCGTCAGGGCGTGCTATTCACTTGTATCAGTATCGCTTCGCTCACGGGGAGCCCGATTGCAGGGGCGATCCTGAGTCGCCAGAACGGGACCTACTGGGGCTTACAGGTGTTTGCGGGCGCCATGATGGTGGGCAGTGTGTTCTTCTTTGTGGCGGCCAGAGTCGTCCTGGCCGGGGGTTCCATTGGGAAAAAGGTATAGACCGCTATGTACATCGTCATAGAACTTTTATTTATCCAACATGCGTAAAATACTACGGTTCGCAGTAACTGTCACAGAGCTGCGCCAGCTGCACATCCAACCGGGTCAATCCTTTCGGCTGGTGCGTGGTCCAGCGGATCGAGACCTTGTTGTAGACCTATATGAATCGTCAGCACGACAGACCAGCAACCATAGTAAATAAAGTAAACACCCCAGAGACAACAACAACAACAACAACAACAACAACAACAACAACAACAACATACATTCGACCACTCCGGATGATGGCGATACGTCGCCGCCGCCTCAGCCACCCGCTGCATGAAAGCCTTCATTCACACCCCGTTAGCAAAAAGGACAATATCACTCCACAAACCACCCCCCGGGAAGGAAAAACCTACCCAGGCCTTCTTAAACGAAGGGAACCGAATCTCGCGCTCAATACCCAAGCCATCGTCCGTCAACGTCCAGAGCCCGCCATTCCGGACCAGCAAGCCCTCGACCCCCGAAGCAACACCCTCGACGTCCTCCTCCCCTTCCGCCACGACGGGCCTCGCAGGCTGCTCTGCGCCCTTCCACGCCGCGCCGTAGATCTTATCCCCGATATCGCCATGGGTATAGGGGACCAGATACCCGGCGTCGTCACAGCGCTCCGCCCGGGCCGCAACAATTACATACTCCACCACGGGACAGGCCGCGACCCTCTCCAACGCCTCGGGCGCCGCATAGCAGCACAGCACCGCTACCGACCGCTCCGCCCGCCCACTGCTCATCGCCCACAGCTCCTCGCACAGCGCCACCAGCGTGTCGCCCGTCGCGACCAGCGTGTCCAGCACGACGAGCTTGCCCTCGTCTGCGGCGGCGGGGAAGGGCCGTCGACCGGGCCACTCGACCACGACGTCCTGGGTGCCCTTTTTCTTGCTGCAGCGGGCCAGCACGCAGGTGGTCGCCGCGAAGAGGGACGCCGCGGCGACGAACATGGGCAGCGCGCCGCGGAGGATGGGAACCATGGTTGGGGTGGTGAGGGCTGGGTCGTGGGCTTTGGCGGCGGCGACGAGCGCGGCGGTCAGGCCGTGGATGGTGCTTTGCATGGCTTGGGGGGTTGCCGT